CTGACCCACAGCTGGCACATGGGTGTGCTGGGATGGGAACACAGCCCAGCCCCCGTACCTGGGGCAGGGCCTGGTGGCCCCTGGGGACACCAGGATCCTGAGGGCCGAGCGCTGGCGCCTGCCACCCTCCAGCTCTCGCTCCACCGTGAGAGTGAAGAGGCTGCCGGCCCTGGGGAGAGGCGGGTGTGGGAGCCGGGCTGCAGCAGAGCACAGCACCCCACAGCCCAATCCTTCCCAACCAGTGGGATCTGGGCCAAATCCCTCACCCCTGCACAGCCGAGCGCCCGTCTGCGAGAGGCTGCTGAGCACACCCCTGGAGCAATGCAGGGCTGGCAGCCAGCCCCCTGGCATAGGCACTGACGGCAGCCTGGGCATCGGGCACGGCTGTCTCTGTTGCCTCCTCCACCATCCTGGAAGCAGAGGGAGACAAGACCGAGCGAGAAGGGTCACATCCACCCTTTGTTCGTCGCTGAGGAACACCCAGGGCCGTGCTGTGGCTGGGCACCGTGCTCCCTGCCCAGCCCCCCTCCTGATGTTGGGGTGCCAGTCTCCAGGAGCATCTGCTCAGCCGTGGGGCATCAGGGACCTACAGGCCCAGGGGTGCCACATCCATCACTTGCAGGGCTCGGCCGTCGGGACGGAGCAGGTCCCAGGCTTTGTCGTGGGTGCTGACCTGGAATGAGGGGGCTGCATTAGGCAGGGGGGCAGGAAAAGGCGGCTGCTGGCATCCCACACTCACCAGGGGCCCAGACTGCTTGTGGCCATGCATAGGTGAGGGTTGACAAAGGCTGGTTTGGGAGTAACTCCCAACTTTTCCAGCCCTGGCACCAGGGAAGGGCAGAGCCCTGGGAACACCCGAGCCCTGTGTGGAGTTTATCAGATCCCTGGCAGCATCCCAGGGCCAAAGGGCAGAACCCAGCCCAGTGGCAGGAGCTGGCATCGCTCCTGTGCCGATCAAGGCCACACTGGAGGGAGCAGTGACTGGCCCAGAAAGCCTGGCTGTGATGGGGGCAGGAAGGGGTTACAGGGCTCCCCGGATCCCACCGTGCTGCTGGAGCCTGGGAGGTGCTCTGTGGGCAGCTAAGGCTTCCCACATCCTGGGAAGAGGTGAGAACACCTGGGATCCAAAGTCTCCAGTGCCTGGTGACCCTCGGGGTGAGGGGTCTGGATGCCAGTACAGGGCAATACGTGCTCTTGGCACAGCAGGGTCTGGGCAGTGGCAGAGAGGGAATGGGACCCTCATCCCAGGACATCCTGCCCTGCTCCTGCCCTACCTGGACCAGACTGACCATCTGCAGGCTCCGTGTGTCATCCCCCAAGGCCTGCAGCTCTTGGAAGATGATGTCAATCACCTGTGGACAAGCTGGGATCTGTTGTTTCCCGGGACCCGTGGCTGGATCTCACCCCTGGCCCAGTGGGATCGGGGTCTGTTGGGTGCTGGGAGCCCAGCACTGCCCAGTTGTGCTGTCCCCTCTCCCTGCCACCTGTCCCCTGTGGCCTCACCTGCCAGATGACACTCTGGAAGGGCAGCTGTGTCCCAGGGCCATGGGGGTCCCACAGCAGGAGGGACACGCTGTAGCCAAGGGGAACCAGGGCCAGCTGGGGTCTTGCCAGCTCCAGGACGTTCTCCTGGTAGGAGAGACATATCCAGCATGGCACAGCATGGCACAGCATGGCACAGCAGGGTGCAGATGGCCCTGGCTCATGTGGCTGGGGACAGGGTACAGAGGAGGACTTGGGGCTCTTGGTACCTGTCCTGCATCCAAGTGGAAAACACCATCGATAGTCAGGGAGCTCTCCTGGTGTGAGGGAGGGGGATAATGTTCAGCTTTCCCTTATCCCAGTGTGACCAGGGCAGGCAAAGGAGTCACTGAGGGCCTGGCATGGGCAGGGGTGACGAGAGACCCCCTCCCTTCCCCTGCTCTCTGGCAACCCCCAGGAGTCCCCTACAAGAGAGGGGCCCGTGGGGCAGCATCAGCCCAAGACCTCAGCTCCCATCAGGGTCCCAGGTGTGGCAGGAGGTGGGACAGAGCCCCTGCTCCCTCCTGGTTCCCCGGGGAGCCTCGTGCCTGGATGTCCCTGCCCTGCAGCTCTCACCTGGGGCTCCTTCCCAGTGAAGAGAAGCTGTAGGGGGTCCTTGCTGCAGTCCACCCAGCTTCCTCCTGGCCCTGGAAGCACCGAGTGTGGGATGGTGTGCGGGGTCACCCCCACCTGTCCCAGCCCTGTCCTGCCCCCCTTGCAGCCTGGAGCCACATCCCAGGGCTCCACATCGTTCCTGAGCCCTCCCGCTATCACTCAGAGCCACCAGGATGGGGGGACACCCTGTCCCTGTCAGCAGTGCCCAGACCAGCTCAGCCACTGGTCCAGTGCCACCACAGCTGTGGCTGCCACCCTGTCCCCTTGTTTCCTGGGGGTTCAGCTGAAGGCTCCGGGGTGTCCTGAGCTCTACCTGCTGCCCGGTGGAGTCCCAGAGCTGCTCGCACGCTGACATCCTGCTCAGCCTGCCGGGATGGAGCGGGAGGGAGACACACACTCAGCACCACCAGGAGACCCCAGGGAGCTGGGCAGCCCCTGGCAGATCCCTCCAAGCCAGCCTGGGCTGTCCCCCACCACGGCACTCACCTCGTCCATGGGCAGTGTGGCAGCAGCCGCCGTGAGCTGCTGTTTGCTGGGGCAGGGATGGGGTTACCTGAGGGATCCGGTTCTCCTGCATTATTGATGGATGTGGGCAGAGCCAGAGCCAGCCTGGAGCCATGTCTCCCTGAGAATCAGACCTTTGGATATTGTTTTCATAATTTCTAGCCACTTTCCCAGGAAAGTAACTATAAACATAGGTGTTTATACATTCCATTAAAGATTTGCCTTTTGATGGATGTCTCTCACGGCCAGGGTGGTTGGGAAGGTGTTAACCTGACTATCCAATCCCTGGTTGTGGTCAGAAACTTATAAATACTGAAAAAACAAATAAACTTCCTTCTTCTTTCACCACACCTCGAGCTGTGTCCGTGTGAATCACTTTGACAGTGACAGAGGCACCCTGGCCCAGGGGCTGGGCCCTGCTGCCCGAGGCACCACGGAGGGCAGGCGGGTGCCCAGAGCCACTCACACCACCGGGGAGCTCCCAGCTCCAGGAGGAACGTCTCTGTCATGGCTGGGAGCTGAGGGACCTTGCACTGCCACACAGGTTGTCACAAGAAGTGACCACAAACCACAGAATCACCGGAGATCAGTCCCAGCAAGAGAGCACAGAAGGAAATGCCAGTGCTGGGGATCCTCACTGCCTGTGGAAATGCAGATGGAGGGGGCCAGGAGAGAGGGCCCAGGACAGCCCTGCCCTGCTTTGGGCAGCACCAGGAGGAGCAGATGCACTCGTGTCCCTCTGACCGCCTGTTCCCTGTACAGAACCAGACCAATGTGCCCCCAGAACTCCCTCAGCTGTGCCTCAGGTGTGGGGCTGATGCCAGCTGGACACAGATGGAACAGGCAGCACTGGGGACTGCATCAGGAGCAGGGCAGGACACGTGGCAGGGACAACAGGGACATGTGAGGGCTTGGGCAGGTGGAGGTGGCCACAAGGAAAAGCCCTTGAGAGGGTGAAGGCCTGGGACAGAGCAGGGCACAGGGCTTTGGGGGGCTCCCCAGAATTTGGCTGGGCAAATAATATAAAATAAAAATATAAATATAATAAATAAATAAATAAATAAATAAACATTATGCTAATAATATTAATAATATTAATAATATTAATAATACCAATAATGTTATTATAAATAGGATAGAAATAATATAATGTAATTATAGATTATATGTTATATAGTATATAGTGTTTAGTATATACTATATATGTATACTATGTACTATATACTATTATAAAATAATATTATTATATTAATTTAATTATCTATTAATTGAAATTACTGAATAAATATATTAATAATAATAAATAAATAAAGTGGGATAATACTGGGGGAAGGCTCTGCTCCACGGGGAAGCCAGTCTGGGGACTCCAAGAGCCCCTGAGCAGCACTTGGGGTGCTGTGAGGGAGCCCCTGTGGGACAGCACTGGTGGCAATGGTCACACACCCCCCTCATGTGCTGTGGCAGGGCCTGGCCCCGTGTGGGTGCTCCCAAGGGATAGCAAAGCCTCAGATTCAGGAGGCAGGGATTTCTCCTTCCTCATCCCTCAGGCAGCAGCTGCTGCTGCTCCATGCTCAGCCAGCCCAGGGTTCCCAAGGCACAGGGGCACCCTGGTGTGCACCAGCACCCTGAGCCAGCACAGCCCAGGGCCCCACCCTGCCCTGGGGCTGCTCAGGACAGGGACACAGCCCCACAGCCCCTCCAGGACAGGGACACAGCCCCACAGCCCCTCCAGGACAGGGACACAGCCCCACAGCCCCTCCAGGACAGGGACACAGCCCCACAGCCCCCCCAGGACAGGGACACAGCCCCACAGCCCCTCCAGGACAGGGGCACAGCCCCACAGCCCCTCCAGGACAGGGACACAGCCCCACAGCCCCTCCAGGACAGGGACACAGCCCCACAGCCCCTCCAGGACAGGGGCACAGCCCCACAGCCCCTCCAGGACAGCCTGGACGTGCAGCAGACCCCGAGTCCATCCCGATCCACGCCCCGTTCAGCCTCCCTCCAGCTCCAGGGGTCCTCCCCACTCGCTGCTTTCCCCCAGCCCGGCTGTGTTTGCCCAAACAGAGAGAGGGACGGACACAGGGAACACCCAGACACCAACTTTAATGCAGAGGCAGGACAGGCCCTGGGCAAGAGGAGCAGGGCTTGGCCAGGTGAGCACTGCCTGCCTGCCACCAGCCCCTTCTCTTCACAAGGACACAGAGAGGGAGGACAGGGGGGAATGGCTTCCCACTGCCAGGGGCAGGGTTAGCTGGGATATTGGGAAGAAATTCTGCCCTGGGAGGGTGGTGAGGCCCCAGAATAGGCTGCCCAGAGAAGCTGTGGCTGCTCCATCCCTGGAAGTGTCCAAGGCCAAGCTGCTTGGAGAAAGCTGGGATAGTGGAAGGTATCCCTGTCCATGGCAGGGTGTGGAATGAAATGAGCTTTAAGGTACCTTTCAACTGAAACTACCCTGTGATTCTATGATTCTCTCCCATCCCCACTTTCCCACACTTGTCCTTTCCCTACCCACCCCCTTCCTTTGAATATTCCCCAGTCCTGCATTCCAGGGCTCTCCTTCAGCATTCCATAATCCATTTTCTCTTTACTGTGAGATATTCTCTGAATAACCCAGAACCCAGAATAAATCAGTTTTCCTCTTATCACTTAAAAAGTTTCTGGTTGAACCTCCTCAAGGTCCCACTTGGACTCATTCCCCAGTGCCTCAGGTCCAGGTATAAGGAGCTGCTCCAGCTCATTAGCATTTGCATGCAGGGGTGTTTAATTTAGTAATTTTCCTGTCTTTTGTGGTTTTTCGGTTTTTCTCTTAGGCTGAGGAGCAGCCAAGCAGCATCCTGCCAAAGCTGACATGCTGGCCCAGCCACAGCCCCGGGTGAGGAGAGGGAGGATCAGCACAGGGGCCATGGAGGCTCCAAGGATGGCTGGGCTGCTGGGGCTAAGAGGTCTGGGGGGGCTCTGGGCAGACCCCAGCAAGGCTTGGGGCACCTGAGCGCTACCAGTGGGAATGTGATGGAGCTGAACTCCTCTTGTCCAGGGCAGCTGGGGCAGTGTTGGGGCTTGGGGAGCTGGAGCTGGCCACAGGGAAATCCCCCATGGGAGGGTGAGGCTCTGGGTCAGAGCACAGCACGGGGCTCAAAGTGAGGGGTGCCCCAAAACTTGGGGCAGTGGGATAACCCTGCAGACAGCCCTGCTCCACCAGCGTGGGGACACCAAGAGCCCCTCAGCAGAACGGGGACCTGAGAGCCTTCCCACGGAGCCCCTGGGGGTGGGAAGGGTGGGAAGGGTCCCAGGGCCCCTCAGGCTCTGCGGCAGGGCCTGGTCCTGACCAGACAGACGGCCCCAGCCACACCGAGCAGGGCGAGGATGACGCAGAGCGGGGTCACCACGGCACCGAGGTGACAGCGCAGCACCGACACCGGCACCTGGGCCACCTGCCAGCCCTGGTACTCAGCTGGGGACTGGCACCTGTAGTCCCCGGGCCAGCCCTGCCCCAGGTGCCCCGTGGCCGCCAGCGCCTGCAGCCCCCTGGCCCCAGAGCAGGAGCAGCTGAAGGGGTTGTCAGCCACAGCCACGTCCTGCAGGCGCCCCAGGAGCTTCACCTCCTCCCTCGGCAGCTCCGAAATGGAGTTGTTGTCCAGGTGAAGGGTGTCCAGCACGGGGTAATTCCTGACGGAGGGGACGGCCTGCAGCAGGTTTTGATTCAGGAAGAGCTTCTTCAAGGAGCTGAGGGAGGTGTCTACAGCACGGAGCTGGTTGTGGCTCATGTCCAACACCTCGAGGCGGGGAGGCAGCGGTGTCGGCACTTCAGCCAAGGCAGCGTTGGACAGGTTAAAACGCCGCAGGGATGCTGGCCACTGGCACGAGGAGGATGGGTCTGCCACGAGCTCGTTGTGGCTCAGATCCAGGTGCCGGAGCTCCGGCAGCAGCCCCACGCCCTCACACACGCTGCTGTAGGAGCTCAGGTTGTTGTGGTGCAGACTCAGCTCCTGGAGCCGAGGAAAAGCTCCCTGGCAGAAGGTGAGGGCCAGGCTCCCATCGCCGAGGCTGTTCTGTGCCAGGTTCAGGGAGAGCAGAGCTCTGAACAGCCTCCCGATGGCACAGGGCAGGCTGGTGACACGGGAGCCGGTGACAGCCAGCTCCTGCAGGGTCTCCAGCCACCTGCTCAGGCTGGAGAAGGCCTGCTCACGGCCCGTCAGAGGGGCAGATGTCACGTTGTGGAAGCTCAGGGAAACTATGGGCAAGCTCTGGCCATCCATGTCACTCCAGTCACCTGTCCCCTGGAAAACGCAGCTCTCAAAGGCCAGCTCCTGCACATGGGTGTAGGAGAAGAACCTCAGCACACGGGCGAGGAGTATCTCAGGCACCAGGACATTTCCAATAATTATTTTCTTGATAATGAGGGAGTCCAGAGTCTCAATGATGGAGGGGGTCAGGTCCCTGATTGGGAAGGCTATGTATTTCTCCACATCTCCACCCTGAAACTCCACCACATTTGCAGGGAGGCACTGGATGATGCTGCCGATGGTTTCCTCGGTCAGGTTGTAGCACACACAGTGCTCCTTAGTGCGGTTGAAGAAACACCTGTTCCTTCTGCCTTCTGCTGCCAGCAGCCCCAGGAGCAGGAGCACAGCCACCCTCATGGTGAACGACCTAAAAACTGCAGGAGAAACAGTGAATGGCAGCTGAGGGCACCACTCTGACCACCAGTGGAGGGATGCCCTGGGCAGGTTCAGCCCTGCAGAGCCACCCCTTGGGGACAGGGCACTGCCCTCATCCCTCCTGCAGGACTCGGGCAGCGCTCGGGCCAGCAGCCAAACACCCTGGAGCTGCAGCTGAGCCACCCTGCCCTCAGCAGGGAGCCTTCCGAGGCTCTGCACTGTCCTGCCTGGGCTGCCTTGCTGCAGGATCCCACTCCTAAACGGCCTGGAGAAACTACAAATGCGGAGTTACAGACAGAGAAGCCAGATGTATCAGTCTGACCAGGGAGAGAGCCCCAGCTCTGTTTGTTCCTCTGTAATCTGGGGCAGGAAATTGCAACAGAGGGCTTCATGTTTTCTCCTTCCTCGCCCAGCGATTTGATTCATCACCAGCCCCCAAAGGGGTGGCAGAAAACGACCCCTGAAGGTGTGAACACATCCCTGTCACACCAGAAGCTGGGCAGCTGACAGAATCTAGTCTCTGATCGCCAGATTGCAAAAGAAGCGGCAAGCACAGATTAAAGGCTCCCAAATATGTGCTGACTCAGCTCAAAGGGGGTCTTTGGGGGTCCCAGTCCAGCCTCCTGCTCTGAGCAGTTCTGTCGCTGCCCCCAGCCCTGATCAGCCTCAGCTTTCCTTGGCCACATCCCCGAGTCCCCCGAGCACGGAGCTCTCCCTACCTGTTCCTGGGGGCTGCGGGGCCCTCCCGAGGAGCTGCTCTCGGCCGGCACCTGCCCCGAGCGCGGCTGGCCGCGGGCAGCAGGAGCAGGTGCCTTTGTGCAGTGACTCACCAGCCAGCTCACACCCAAACGTCCCCTGCTTCCTCCAGCTGCTGCCAAATCCCGGCCGGAGCTGCCAAAGTCTCCGGGCGCTCAGCTCCGTCCGGCAGCCGATGCTGAGCCCTCGGCGCTCCAGATGTGTTCCAGCTGCTGCTGCCCGGCTCGGGTCCCCAGGCCGGGCTGGGCAGGCTCCTCGAGCCCGGCTCTCGGGCACAGCCCTCGCTCCCGAGGCGTGACTTCCTGAGCACGACAGAGCCACCAAGGCACTTGTGCTTCACTTCCCTGTGGCTGCGGGCTGGGAAAGGTTGTGGCCGGAGTGCCAGCGCTGCTCGCTTTCCTGGGAAGGGTGGAGGAACAGAATGCGGGCGAGGTTCCCCCACGGCGTTTTCGGCGTCAGCCCTTCCAGATGCTCTGGTGTTGCTGCGCTTGCTCAAGGCTCAGCGGGTGCTGAGCAGCCTGCAGGCAATGCAGAAGGGTTCAGGACTGCCATACCTGGCACCCAGACCGTGCCTGTGTTCCATGCAGGATGGGGATGGCACAATTCTCGAGGCTGCACAGGGCACTCCTTCACCGGCAGGAGCCACAAGTGTCCCACAAACAGCTGGATGTGGCACTGAGAGCTCTGGTCTGGCTGACAAGGTGGTGGTCAAAGGCTGGACTTGATGGTCTTGGAGATCTTTTCCAACCGAAATGGTTCCGTGACTCTGTGATCTCTCAGGACTTTTTTTCTTTCCCAGAGGTTTCTCTGCCTATGCTGGATTCAGACTGGACAGTACAGCTCCCAGTTTGCTGTTGTTAATGGGGCACTACACGAGTTGGGGTGGGGTCCCTGCTCCCTGGGACTCGTGTGCAGAGGTGCTCAGCAATTCCATGACTCCTCTTCTACATCCTTGGGATACGTGAAATTTCTCAGCACAAGGACATGGAGCTGCTGGAGCGAGCCCAGAGGAGACCACAGAAATGCTCCAAGGGCTGGAGCCCCTCTGCTGTGCAGACAGGCTGGGAGATGGGGCTGCTCAGCCTGGGGAAGGCTCAGGGGAGACCTCAGAGCCCTTCCAGCACCTAAAGGGAGTCCAGGAGAGAGGCTTTGGACAAGGACCTGGAGTGACAGGACAAGAGGGAATGGCTTCCCATTACCAGAGATCAGTGTTAGATGGGATATTGGGAAGAAATTCCTCCCTGTGAGGGTAGGGAGGCCCTGGCACAGGTTGCCCAGTGAAGCTGGGCCCCATCCCTGGAAGTGTTCAAGGCCAGGTTGGACGGGGCTTGGAGCAACCTGGGATAGTGGAAGGTGTCCCCTGACCATGGTGGATGTTTTGGAACTGGAGGAGCTTTAAGGTCTCTTCCCATCCAAATGGGTCTGCAATTCCAGGAAACCGCTGCTGAGTGCATGATGGAAAAGTCACAGCTGCCCTCTGAGCTCTCCTCCCAGCCCCTTTTGTCGAGCCCGGCAGCTCTGCCCAGGGCTGGTATCTTTAATTTCTGCCCTCCAGCTGCGAATTCCCCAAACACCTCCCTGGGGAAGCACGAACTCCTCTGCCCTTCGGTCCCCATCACCACTGCGGGAGGTCCCGGGCCACCGAGCCGCCTTGTTTCACATTTCTGCTGAATCTTTGGGGATTTTTTTGTCCTCGGCACAACCACCGCGCATCCCTGCGGGGCACGGCCGCCCGGGCTCGGAGCGGGCTAGGCGCGAAGGGGGGCCGGGATCGTGTTTTCCCCGCCCCGGGACCGCCCCGGGACCGCCCCCGGACCGCCCCCGGACCGGCCCAGGACCGGCCTTTTCCTCCTCATCCTGTGCTCTGGCTGTTTCTCCTGTCTCGGCCATGTGGGGCCGGCGGCGGGCCCGGCGCGGCGGGCGCAGCGCGGAGGAGCTGCGGGAGCGGCGGCGGGAGCGAGAGGCAGGTCCGGCCGGGGACAGCGGGCACAGCCGGGGGGCTGCGGGGTCCCCCGTGCCTGGGAGGGACCCCCCAGCTCAGCCCTGGCCGCTCCCATCCCCGAGCGCGCATCTCGGGGGGACGGGCGCCGCTGCCCGCCCGGGAAGCGTTTTACAGCTTCACGTTTTAACCCGAGGGGTTTCTGCCATGAATTCCCCGTTTCTTCGACAGCCCCTTCCCCCCCCCCCCCGCCCCCACTGTTTGGGTTTTCCAGGGTCTCGCCTACGTCTTAGCCCTGAGCAAAGGAGGCTCAGGGGGCCCTTGTGGCTCTGCACAATCCCTGCCAGGAGGGGACAGCCGGATCGGGTTCTGCTCCCAGGGAACAGGGACAGGAGGAGAGGGAACGGCCTCAGGCTGGGCCAGGGGAGGTTTAAGTTGGATGTTAAGGAAAATTTCTTCATCAGAAGGGTGGTCAGGCATTGGAACAGGCTGCCCAGGGCAGAGGTGGAGTCAGCGTTCCTGGAGGTGTTTTCCAAAATCAATTAAATAGGGCACTTGGGGCTTGCCTTAGTGGCCATGGTGGTGTTCAGCTGAAGGCTGGAGTTGATGATCTTGCAGGTCTTTTCCAACTTTAATGATTTTATGATCCTATGTGGGATCCAGCCTCAGGTCCCTCCAGCTGCTCCTCGGGCCTCTGTCCCGTGTTCCTGCTCAGTATCCCAGCAGTGGCTTCCCACTGTGTGTGCCCAACCCTCCGAGTGCAGTCCCTGCGTCCCTTGCAGGCTCATACAAGGAGGAATGGGCAGTTCCTCCCTGGACTGAGGGAGGAATGAGGCTCTTGGGTGGGATGGAGAAGTGTCCTGTCCCGGGCAGGGGGTGACATGTCCCGGTCTGATGGCAGCTCTCAGGAGGGCACGGCGGCAGGAGCAGCTGGTCAGCAAGCGGCTCCTGCGGGAGGACAGCGCGGCCGAGGAGGGTGGACAGGATGGAGCAGACATCGTGCCAGATCCACTCTCGGAGGATGAGGTGAAAGACCTGACATTCTTCACGGCAAAGGGGGTCTCAGGGGTCTTCCCCAGACTCGGCATATAAAGGAGGATGGGTTTGGGAGTGGTTCTGATTCACTGCCAGACGCAGTCAAGGCTCCTTGTGTCCATCTTTATGCTCTGGGTTCCTTTGCCTCAAGGATTAACAGGGCAAAATCTTAATGCTGGCAGTGCTTTTAAGTTGTTAAGTGCTTAAAGTGTATGTTTTAATTCCCTGGCCAGGTTCTGGAGCTGCTCAGGGGTGTGCAGAGGGGTTCGGAGGACAGGCAGCGATCGCTCGGCCGCCTCCGCTGGGCTCTGCAGAACGAGGAGACTCAGCAGAAGTTTGTCAGGTCAGCCCAGGCCTGCTGTGGCTGTCGTGGGGCAGGTCCTGAGGGGCCCTGTGTCCCTGTGGGTGGGTGAGCTGGCGTGTGGCCCTGGGTGGGAGCTGACAGCAGCCTTTGGATCCCCCAGGCTGGACGGCAGCATCCGGACGCTCACCGGGCTCTTCACCAGCAGCCTGGCTGAGCTGCAGCTGGAGGCTGCTCGCTGTCTGCACGAGCTGTCCCACTCCAGTGTCCCCACGGTGGCTGAGGCGTGTCTGCCTGTCACCTCCTACCTGCTCACCTACCTGTCGGGACACAGCCTGGAGCTCACGGTGAGATCCCTGTCCACATCCACATTTGCCGGGGCTGTGGCACCTGGGAATCCTCTGGTGTGCTTGGTATTGACCTCTTGTTGTCACACACAGCTCCCGTGGGAGTGCTGGTGGGACAGGGCCCTCTGGAAGCCAAAATCTTTTGGCATCACAGCCTTGCCCTGAGAGCAGGACTGTCCCCAGTGCCCAGGTGTTTTGACCTGCCCTGACGGTGGGGTAACTGAGTTCTCATTACTCACAGATCCCTTGGGATGGATTAGAGTGGAACCACACAGAATGACCCATGTTTATGTACACAGATGTGTATATATATATATAAATATATATATATGGGAGGTTTATTTTAGAGCAGTTTGGTTGCAATGCAAAGGAGGTATGTAGCCACTTTGGTTGTTAACTATAGAAATGAAATAATATAAAAGTACAAAGATATCACTTAAGAAAATATATAAGAAGAAAGAAAGGAAGAAAGAAAGGAAGGAAGGAGAAGAGTAGATAGTAGAGTGCCTGTGGTTCCATGTTGTACAACTTGGTCTGGGAAAGGAGCACAGCTGGAGTAGCTCTGGGATGCCCACATGTTTTCCAGCTGCTCCATCTGGAAACAGGCTCAGAGCTAAGGAGCAAGGTGGGCAGTGACCCCAGGTGCTGATCCCATTTGAATGCACCACACAGGCAGGCTCCAGGAGAACCAGAAGGGGCACAGGGAAATGGCATTCTGAAAATCAGAAGCCAGAAAAACCTCCAAAGTGGGAGTGATGAGATCCCAACTTCTGTCAGATAGAAGAAGAATGAACTGAAGCTGACTGAGCTGGGAATGGGGTGCCTGGGGAGTCCAGCAGCATCCAGCTGTGTTTCCCTCTCCAAGGCCAGCTCCTGCCCTGCTCAGGGCACTGTGTGGGACCTGAGGCTGTGCTGGCTGCTCTCGGGGTCACCTCCTGCTTTGCTGTGTTGTTGCAGGAGCTGTGTTTGTACACACTGGGGAACCTCGTGGTAGAAAGTCAGGCTGTGAGGAAGCAACTGCTGCCTCAGGGCATAATTCCAGTGCTGGCATCCTGCATCCAGGTGGGTGAAACAGCTCAGCCACATTTCTGCTGTGCCCTAGAGAGACTTTTCTGACAGCCCTGAGTCCCCAGCTTTCCTTCCAGCTGTGGGGGAGCTCTGCAGGCAGCTGTTCCCACAAGTGAGGGTCACTTGTGGGCTCCCTGTGCTCATTTCAGGGCTCAGCTCACCCCTTTGTGCTCTTCCCAGCACAATCTCCCCCATGCAGTGGCTGCCTGGTACAGTCTGCAGCACAGGGAGCCTGTCCCCTCTGCCTGCCCTGGGCCCAGCAGGGCTGGGGTTTGCAGGTCCAAATTCAAACCAGGAATTTTGCTGCATTTGGGCTAAGCCCAGTGAATGTGGGGAGGGGGACAGCTCTGCTCTGGAGGTTCCTGTGTCCCTCCTGGCCCCTCTGTGCCCCCTGTTCTCCAGGCACAGTGAGGCTGTGCTGCTCAGCTGGGTTTGGTTGGCACCCTGGGGCCCTGGCTGTGTGAGGAGGGATCAGCTCTGTTCTCTTGGATTGCAGTCCCCACACGAGGCAGTGCTGGAAGGTGTGGGCTATGTCCTCTCACAGCTCCTCCAAGCCAAGGAAGCGCCCATGGAGATCATCCCGTGAGTCTGAGCCTCTGAACCCCTCACCGGGATGGGCCCCGGGGCCTCGAGTGGTATTTGTGTGCTGGGGACACGACACCTTCCCCATCCCAGTGACATTAATAGTT